TGGTTCATGCTTTTAATATACTGACCTGTTGAGATTCATGCTGAATTAGCTTTTGACAAAGCAATTTTGCTAATCTTCCGAGACAGATGGAGGTGGAATGGTAGGGAAAAAAGCAGGGCCTAAGAGTAAATAGTAAGTTAAGGGAAAACTTCAATAAAATTCTACCTTAGGAAATTAGCCAAGGCAATTTTATGTGAAAATCAATTCCTTGGTACTTGTCAATACATTTTAAATAGCTTCTTTCAAAGTGTAGTTTTAAAAAGCGTATTAATAGTGTAGTATGTCACAGGGATTCTTGAACCCAGGTAACAGGAGTGAATTTATGAGACCAGCTAAATAACGATATATTTTGTCTGAGAAATATTTAAGGAGTTTTTTGGTGAATTTACAAGTTTGCAAAAGAAGCAAATTAGGTTTTTTTGGTCAATGAGCTTGTGTACAGCTGTGTTATTCTCTAGACCTTCCTACTGGCTGTGTATGCAAATTAGCAAAATCTTTTATTTAAAGAGTCCCTTGGTACAGGTTATGTGCAATTTTAAAAGGGTGCCAAGGATAGAGTCAGCAACAAAGCTGGATAGTGGCAATATTTACACTGCCACTGTGTGAAAATGGGGAAGTCAGAACTATTACTTTGTTTCTCACTAGAGAGAGAGAAAAAAAAAAAAAAGAGACTCACATACACGTTGTGCATCTGTTCTAAAAGACAATTATGTAATTTTACCAACCAAAAAATTAGCTAAAACTATCTAAATTCAGACATAACCATGCAAGACGATAACCTGGATGTATGGTTCTAACGTCTAAAATCTGAATTTTTCTGCTGCTCGCAGCTTTTAATTTGACAGATTTAGAAAGCTTATTTATATGTAAATGAACTTTAATTTTCTAAGACTAATTTTTAATACAACCAAAAGAGAACTTGCGGCAGTGATATACAAGGGGGAGCACTTCAGAAAATTTGTCAAATTATGCAATGTTAGTCATAGGCAGTTTTTGTTAAAAAAAAGCTCTATGCCCATCAAGTATTAGCATGCGTATTTATAAACTCTGCAGCAACGTATCCAGCTGTTAATGAACAGCAACAGCTATGGGACTGAGACCTTTTCTTAGTAGCTGTGCATCTAACATATTATGAATTGTGGCATATTTGAGATTGCTGTCAGTGAAAGTGCTATTGTTTGATCTCTGGCTTTGATTTGCAGTCGTGTTTCTTCTCACTCCTTTGTTTGGTCAGAAGTGTGGAAGATGTTACTTGTACCCCCAAAAACTGTTGAGTTAGTAGGTACTTCTAATGAAACTGCAACACTATCACTGCTTATTTTGTTCGCTTCTTTCTCTGAAAAGTTGCTTTGCAGTATTTTTAAGTAAAAATAAACAGCTGTTCTTTGCTTTTTGGAGCAAGCTAATAGAGGCAGCCACATCAAGTGGGAGAGCTCTATTTTTCCCTGGGAAGGCTTGCTGAAGATTAAGGTGATACTTAAAACTTGGAGCGCTTTACGGGTGTGTTAGACCAGTAAAGTTTACTAATTTTGGTGCAAATACAAAAGCAACGTTAGCTTTGTTTGAAAATCATTGCACATAAGCAAAACAAATTAAGATGGGGAAAACTGATTTGATCAGCATAATTATGTGAGGTTTCCGCCAGTCTGCCAGCAGATGTGCTTCTGACATAACCAGCCCAGCAGACGTCCTTAGTGTAGACTGGTCTAAATCAGCTGCTGGCCTGTTAATTGGGAAGGGCTTGATCATTTGGAAAAAAAAAAAAAATAATCACAGCATTCGTTGTTTGAGCCAAGGGAAAAATTAACTTCTGGTGGCAGTGAGTAATTGACTTACACGGAGGGGAATATAGTTCCATCACAAAAATGTTATGTGAAGACTTTATCGTTTCTTCCCAATTTCTATATGCCGTTTAGTATGTTCCCATGAGGCTAAAACCAATAACGTTCTTGCAAGTTGAAACAAAGTAAAACAAGAAAATCTAATTATTTCTCATAGATGACCTCTTGTTGACTTGTTTTATTAAATAAAATGTAATCTGTTAATGTTGGAATATTGCAGCAACTTTTCTTTGTGATGTATAAGTATTTCATATATGTGCCTCTTTAATGTGCTGAGTAGCCTGGAAGGTATTTAGCACGCTGTATACACCTGATCAGTTAGAATTTTGTTTGAAGCTTTGTCGGTTGCTATTCCTCTGTGAGAGGAGATAATATAGGATTCAACTCCTGTTATCTAAAATAACAGTTAACTCGAAACCTAAAGGAAATAATTCTGAAAAAATGTAATAAACTACCCCCTTCTTGCTGTGCTGTAGTGGGCATCAGCAGAGCTAGCCAAGAGGAGGAAGCCTGTGTTTTGTCTTTATCATTGTCTGGACGTTTTCTTGAGCAGACTCACTGAGCTGCATGTTCAGAGTAATGTATCAATTACTCATCAGTTGATTAAACTGTTCTTATGGAAATACACAACTAGTGCATGCGTGACAATTCTGAGCCAAACCTCCGGTGGACCGGTTTTACTCCAGTGTTACTGATAAAATATATCTGCAAAACCTAAAGGCTTTTAAAATGCAAAAGAAACCTTGAAATATTTTGAAACTTTTGGGTAACTTTTTGATACAGGAAGGTTACCGGCATTTGTTTCTAGTTGTAGAAGAACAAGGTGTACATAACTCTGAAGTAATTTTTTTGGTATTAAAAGAAGGACTTTAACTCACACTTAGAAATTACATTGTTCCACGTGAGCCTTTGCGTAGTCTTTGCTTCGTAATAACCAAAGGCCTCATGTTTGGCGGTAGTGAGCTTATGTCTCTAATGGAGGCTTTAGAAGCTGCAGCTGCCAGCCCCTCTAAGAATTATGTCTGAAAACATCTAACTTTTTAAGGGGTACAGAGAATAATTGCAGCTAAAAAACTAGTCTCATGATGCGTATAAAAACTTTTCTGTATCATAGTATGTACAGTGCTGTTTAGTGTCTTAAATAATATCTCAGTGCTTGTTTGGATCATTTTTTGCAGCCTGCCGCTTTTCAACTTGAGTGGTAATCTCTTCCCAGTCTTTATGTCAGTAAAACGCATGATGCTTTGTTTTTCTCCCCTGCCCCAAATCCCAAGTGTGAGTTGGGATTTGTTTGCGATGGGCATTGCTGCAATGCTTTAAGACTTTGGGCATTGGGACAGATGAGACCTCTTACAGTTACTGATGCATCTTGGGCTTCTTCACATATTGTATGCTGTTTGGATGGTTGAGATTGAAAGAATAACCTGCTCAGAACATACCAGCCTCTGAGCAGGTAGAAATTGTTCTCAAACTTGTATTGGATACTGAACTACTGGAACAGACACTTCCTGATTTTTTTTTTTTTTTAAATTTTTTTTCTCTCCCTCTGTGTGTAGTGTAGGTGAAACTGTTCTTCACAGTTTTGCTGATAACGTGCATCTTCATTCTCTTTCCTTAGAAGCATTTTAATTGTCTTAAGTTCGTAACTAGAAAACGTTAAATATCTCAGAGCTTTACTGTTATTGCAAAGAACGAGCTTGTTTAAGAAAAGTTCAAGCCATGTTAAACCTATTTGGGGCACTAAAAAGAAACCTTTGACTAAATGAAATAGATAGATCAAGCATTAAGTGTACTGATGTTGAAGTGGATTGGTAAAGCTTCGCTTACTAAGCTGTTTGTTTCCCAAGTTTCTGAAAAGTTCTCCTTAAAGAAATATCCTTAAGGACAATTAAGTTGGCTTCATTCCTCTTTATGTATTTTTTTTTCCTATTTTATTATAGATATGGGGGGTGCTAGCATGGCCTTTTTTTTTTTTTTTTTTTTTCACCCATTGGACATGGACTTTTATGAGCGGATGGCGGAGGAAAAGCCATAGGAAGTCTAATTACCTTCTCAGCACATTCCTCAGTCTGACACAGTTTTATAACCTGGAGTTGGGAGTGAAGTGCTCCCAAGACTGTTCAAACAAGCAGTTAGAACCTGAGCTGTGAAAATGCTGATTCTGTTCCGATCGCTTGTCCGCTTTCACACAGCATAAATATGGACCACTACTGAAAAGGATAGTCCTGCCCCGTCCTCTGTCCTGGCCGTGCCCCTCGTTCATGCAGCCACCTGATCTAGTAAATAGATCAGAGAGTTGAGCTGTTGGGAAAACTGTCTGGCGTGCTGGAGTTCACATACGGGAGACGGTAGGAATGAATAAGGGCTTGGGAAGAGAGTACCACTGTGCCTTTCCATGACAGCCTGGATCCTGACAAATTGGATGTGTAACTGTGCCTTGGTAGATCAAGATGTGTGTGAAGGTATTTCCCTGAAGAATGTACAAACTCATAAATGATTTCCTACTTGGAGAACAGGTATAAACTAATTTTTAGACTGATGTGTCCAGATTTGAATTTAATCCTCTTGTGTAACTTTTCTATTGAGTTACTGTTTACTAGACTCTGGGTGTTGTTATTAACCACAAGAGTTGCAATATAATGAATGTAAGAACTGTCAGTCAACTAACACGGAAAGTTTGTATTTTAGACAGTTCTGAATGTTTGAAAATAGCACATGTAAGTCTTATATGGTGAGTAGCAATTCTGTGGTAAGGGAGGAAATAGACTATACAAGTTTTCTTACATATCCTTTATTTACCTGCCTCATGCCGTCCCGCTATTATCCCCTCCACGCAAACTGTGAAATCGTAGCCTTTTTTTCTTCCCCATCCTAAGCTTTAGATTCAGACGAGACTGTTCTTCTAGACGTTGTGGTGTGAGTTCAGAATTATTTGAATCTAATTCCTCTACTTTAGCAGAGTGACTGATCATTTGTGTAGTGGTTGGTCCCTTTTAAACATTGATTTTATTTTAAACAGTCCATATGTTAGTCTCAGGAGGTCACGACTGACTTTAAACAAACAGATTGGGATCAGAATAGGCGTGGCATTTAATAATTAACTTTCTGGTTACTCAGGTCCAGTAGGAAACCTATAATGAATCTGTTTTCATTTTGTTTACAGGAATAGTTATCTGCTTAGTCTCATCCTTCATATTTGGCAATCTGAGGGAAAGGTCTGAGCCAGCATGAAGACGGAATCTCTTCTTCATTAGAGAAAAAGTGAGTTGGAACTGGATTGAAATCTAGATTGTGGAATAAGAAGTACTACTTGTCAACAGGCTTAGCTTGTGCTTGTTTTTTAGTGTTATTTTAGCCACATACTGTTCTTAGGAGTGATGTCCAGTTGAGGCACAGTCTCTGTTAAGCACACGCATACAATTTTCAAACCTATGCATGTGATGTGATCGCTTTTACTTTACTTTTTGTATAACTACCTATCCGATTTGCTTCGTCCCTGACGTCTCACAAAAGAGATGTTAAGAGTTTGTGTTCCTTTTCCTGTACTGCTGTATTCGTGTTGAGTTTTGCTTCAGTAGTTTAATACTTGTGACTTGTTTCTGCAGCCTTATTGGTCTCTGTTCCAGTATTCCTAGCGCTTAACGTATGTCCGTCATCTGAATTTTATTTTGAAGCCTCTGTTCAAATTTAAGGATTACCTGAAATGCAGGGCCTAGTTTCCTTTCATTTCTACCTTGTTGTGAGTTCTGCCTTTAAAAGTGCAGCATATGGAAAGCAGCTCGATCATGAGTCGTTTAGCTTAAGTCTTGTATCCTGTTCATATCCCCACCATGTCCTAATAGTATCAAGAAAAAAAAAAACTTCTCACTGTTTATACAGTGTGATATTCATATTCTTTGGTGTAATATGCATCAGTTGGGTTACATCTAATTTACGAGATTTTTTTTTTTTAACGGAGATTCTTTGCAGTCATTGTGTACTAATGATATGTTTTGATTACTTAGCTTTCTGCCTGACGCAGTTCATTTCAAGAAGTGCACGATGACAGAGCGTGGAATTAAATGGGCTTGTGAGTATTGTACATATGAAAATTGGCCATCTGCAATCAAATGTACCATGTGCCGTGCTCAGAGACCTAGTGGAACAATTATCACAGAAGATCCATTTAAAAGTGGTTCAAGTGATATTGGTAGAGACTGGGATCCTACGAGCACTGAAGGAGGGAGTAGTCCTTTGATATGCCCAGATTCTAGTGCAAGACCAAGGGTTAAATCGTCATACAGTATGGAAAGTGCAAATAAATGGTCATGCCACATGTGCACGTACTTGAACTGGCCAAGAGCGATAAGATGTACTCAGTGCTTGTCTCAGCGCAGGACCAGGAGTCCCACAGAATCTCCTCAGTCTTCAGGATCTGGTTCAAGACCAGTTCCTTTTTCTGTTGATCCATGTGAGGAGTACAATGACAGAAATAAACTCAACACAAGGGCTCAGCACTGGACTTGTTCTGTTTGTACATATGAAAACTGGGCGAAGGCCAGAAAATGCGTTGTGTGTGATCATCCCAGACCTAACAACATAGAAGCAATAGAACTGGCAGACACAGAAGAAGCTTCTTCGATCATAAATGAGCAAGACAGAGCTCGATGGAGAGGAAGCTGTAGTAGTGGTAATAGCCAAAGACGATCTCCACCTACAACCAAACGTGAATCTGAAGTAAAAATGGACTTCCAAAGAATTGAATTGGCTGGAGCTGTTGGCAGCAAGGAAGAGCTTGAAGTTGACTTCAAAAAACTAAAGCAAATAAAAAATAGAATGAAAAAGACTGACTGGCTGTTTTTAAATGCTTGTGTTGGTAAGTTGTTTGTTGCTACATTCTACTGTTAGTGCCTATGGCTGGGTATTTTGGGAGGATGAGGAATGTAAACAGAAATTTGAAACTTGTATTTGAAAAAGATTGTTTTTAACATTTTAATTTTTAAAAAGTGAATCAAACATAGAAGTTCCTGAAATAACACCTGCTAAGTGAGAGTGCAGAGTTCATCCGTTACCTGAACAGAATTGGACCTGTGCCTGCTCTTTAGTAGCAAATGTGCTTGGGCGTTTTGATCTTTTGTAGGAATGGATTTCCTTGTAAACGGATTCCGTTCTGTATAGCCGCAAAGTTGGAAAACTACAAAACCAGTCTGCAAAACAATTTTCTGCATATAGAAGTGTAAAAAATGCCACTACTGGGTATTAAGGTTACTGTTCTCTTTACTATGGCAAGATATGCTAGTAGAGTCAGCAGCTGCAGCTTGGGAGTATTTGTAAACAGTGTAGAGCTTATAACAGTACAAGATGCTCTGTCAGATGTTAAAAATAACACAAAAATATGTAGCTCCAAGAAACTGTGTGTGTAATGCTGACCTTGAAAGTAATAATGTATTAATACGGATACTGTGCTGTAAATGTTTACAGGCTTTCTGAAAGTATTTTTGTAGTCAACCGATTCAAAAAGTTCAAATACCAATTTTGTTTTGTATTTTAGTGCTTTCCTAAGGAAATTCTGGATAACTCTCCCAATGCTGTTAAAGAACAGAGACATGTGAGAGCAGGGTTTTCTCCAGTTATTGACCTTGTGAGTTAACTTTTGTGCTGTAACTTCCCCGAAGAAGATATCTTGTGCCCTAACATTCAAGCAGGTTAAACACTTGAAATGTACAACTATTTTTAGAGTAGGACAACTTCATTTGAAACGCTAGCGTTCCTGGTATGTCTCATGCTGTTCCTTGATGTTTTGTGAAGACGCTTTGTTTGACGTATTTATTATTGAAAAACTAATTTGTGGAGCTGTTTTGTTTAATGTATTTGATCAGGTGTAAAAGTTGTTGGCTGTCAGGGATTTGGTTTCTCTGAGCATTAGCTCAGAGAAGTATTCCATTTTATTTTTGTGTTGGTAAATAGCTTCAGACAAATTTTTCCTCTTGAAAATAACTAGATTTCTCAATGTTTCCTAGTACCTTCAGCCCTCTCCCTGCTAGCAGACATATAGTACTTTTTCTTTCTGAAATGAAGCAATGGAAAAACTATCTGTTACTCTGTAAGTTACTGAATACTCGAGATCAGTCTTTGGAGGTCGTTGCTGTGCCTGACAGATGTCTATCTTGCATTCTAATAACAATTGTATTAAATATTTGAGGTTTTTTTCCTCTTGCTTCTGGAAAAGTGAAAACAATTTTGGACTATTCCGTAGCACTTTGCAGTGTTTTACGTTTCATGTTTAATCTGTGTGGGAACGGTCGCAGTTCATATTTTGGAACGTTAGTTTTGCAACTGTTCAGTATTGCTTGCGATTATAAAACTGCACGTGACCTTCAGAAAAAGATGTTCATAACAGTTTGGTGAGACACTTTGGTTAATTTAAAATGAAAATACTTTGAAGGTATGCTGTTAAGATACTTAATGAGAAAGCCAGAATGAAAGTTGAGTTGCTTGTGCTGAATTTTCATAGATTTCATGGATTCCCTTCTGTAACTTAAAAACTTGCTATACTTTAACGTTTTAACTAAAAACAAAAACACTGAGGCTATTAATTATTAGTGCTTTGTTTCAGAATTTCATTTTGCATATCACAGCTTTCGTGTGTGTATGTGTGTGTATGTACATATGTGTGTGTATATATATATGTGTGAATATATATATGTGCGTGTGTGTGTATATTTTTAAATATTCCTCCTGCTAGGAAAAACTTTCTCAGGAAGACTGATTAAAAGTTCATAGCTTCTTTTGTGGTTGAGTCTCAGTGTTATGCAGGGCCTGTCTATATTGGAAAGGTATACCAAATTAACCACAAAATTTGAAAGCAATAAGCCAAACCAAAGCTAGTTCTTTTGTTGTCTTTGACATGCTTAAAACAACTGAAGTTTTGATTGACCAATTTTGCCTGCAGCATATGGTCTCGCAGTGAAAGCAACTGAGTTATTGTGAGTTGGTAACTTGCTATCTGTTAGCCAAGTGGAACTCTTGTAAATCACTAGTCAACCTGATCACTTGCAAATTTTTGGTCACACAGTTACAAATAAAACAGGTTCTTGTGAATTACCAGGTAAGTCTGAGAATTGATAGAGTAAGTATGTAGTGTTAGCATATTTCAGCTGACAAGTGGTGGTTTGTAGAAGATTTAGTAACTTCAGACTGTGTACCTCTAAGCTTAAGCTAAACCAGGTTTGGAAGGTCCATTTGCTGTCTGTCTTACATGGGAGAGGTGTGTTGGTTTAAGCTTTTTGCACGTAGAAAGTGTAGCTTTCATTGAAATTACAGAGATTAAGAGGAGCAAGTGAAGGAGTTATTCTTGGCAGGCTAGTTATATTTCCTTTTCTCTTAAGGAGATACCTTAGAAGATGATATCTTTTGGAAGATACCACGGTGAATGTTGATCGGGATGCTTTGGACCAATTGTTTAGCTGAACTCTCTCTTTTCATCTTGATTCTTTTCTAAAATTCTTTTCTACTAGATTTTTGATTTAATGTGCAGTTTCATAAAAACACTTATCAGACTGCTTTTATTCCACGTTTCTTCTTCTTAGGCAAAATGTGAAGGTAGACATGTATCTTGTGTGGATGTAGAAAATTACCTGTGCGTGTGGCTTTTAACTCTTCTCGGAAATATCCGTTAATGCTCCATGCACCTCACTTACTTAATGTACCATCAAGGCTTTTATTCCGTGCAACTGTAGGTTGTACAAAATGTGGTGAATGGAACTGCTGTATTTTGGCATGAGCAGTTTTATTTGATGCAGAGTGTTTTTGCTAAAGAATCATAAGGGTGTGACCCCTCCCAGCCTCTGCAAGTAAATGTACTTAGATTCTCCATTTTTGATTATTGACATTAGGACATAGGACTTAATTGGTTTTGCAACAGTGGTTATATGCTGTAAATGATCTACTCTCAAAAAGGTGAGATTTTAGAGCTATGATTCAAAGCGCTTCCAGGGCTAGGTTTTAGAGTGGTGCCTGCGGAGTGCAATAGCTATAGGGTACTGCTGAGAACTTTGAGTTGTGTATTTAATTCCTGAGCTGGAACTGTAACCCACAGATTAAAAATAAACTGCATTTCTTCTCCTTCTCCTTTTCCCTCCACCCCCGCTTATTAAGCGTGGCAGGAGAGAAAGCTTTTCTCCTTGTTCAGGTCCGTAAGGTAACTTCATCACGGGGCAGACTGCCCTTGCTACAGATGGTGGCTCTACAATCGACTCTATGGGCGTTCTTCTTAGCAGTGTGAAAGAAACAACTAAGAGTGTTTCTTAAACAAATCCAAAATATTTAGAGTAATCTGTAATAAATCTTGTTTTGCAGTACATCCTTAAAAGGACTGTTAGCTCGCTCCTAGTTTGCCTACATATGTGTCTGCTTAGTTTTATTTTTTTGTCAACTACTTCTCTCTCTACTACAGGTTTTTTTTCCTCTATCCTTTTCCCGCTGCAGTTTTTTGAAACAGTGCCAAATGTATTACCCAAGCGTTCCCAAGCGCTGTGGGAAAGGCTAGTCATTCTGTCTAGATTTAGGTATCAAGTTTGCTGAGCGGTGTCCCAGAATGCTGTACAGCCAGCGCAGAGAGAGGCCTCTTCCTGCGCTGCGTCTTGCAAGAGCGTGCAGCTTTTCCTGGACAGTAAAAGCAGCCTGAGGGGACTGGCGCCCCCCAGCAGAGCGCTTTTGGCTGGCCCTGCCACCCAAACCACCCGAAAAAGTTGTCCTAGCTGTTTGTCCTCCCTCAACCCTCACTCCTATTTTTAGTTAGCCCAGACCGGTTTCCTAACTGCATTCGTGGCACAGCTAAAGCTTGCTGTGGATCCCTGATGCTGTAACAAGGGAGTGGGAGCAAGCCGCTGGAGAGGAGAAAGGTCATGCTGTGTTGTTCCTTGGTGAGTTAATCTAGGCCAGCTAGTGCGAGTTAGTCACTGACAGGCGATTACTTGCCGTGGTGGCCTTGGCTAACCGTGGCAAGGAGCACCTTGTTGGGATTGTGGAGGGGGAGAGATGCTGGTGTGAGCTGCAGGGCCTGTCCTTTCCCCCTGCCAGTTTCTTTGTAGTACTGGGAAGCATGACTTGGCCTAATTAGCTGCTATGCCGGGTAACGATGCTGTAAGCATACATACAACTTCTGCCTCGGTAAGAAACACCTTGCTGAACTTTATGTATCTGCCATGTGTATTCTGGTGTTCCTATTTCACATTTGTGTGTATATGCACATGTATATGTATGTATAAATACGTACACGTGTGTATATATGTGCATATTTATAACGTATGTATGTACATATACATACATATAAAAGAAAAACCTTATTGTTGCATATCTTTTGGGAAGGCAGCAAAACTCTGCATACCTTACTCCTTGATAGAAATCTAAACTCCTAAAGTACGTTTGCACTTGTGTCTCTTCACTGATTTTTTTTTATGCTAAAAATAGTTGAATAAACCATCAAGTTAAAACTAGTTACTTAATTTTATCTTGGAAGCACTTCTGGTTATTAACTTTAAAAACATTCCTGCTTTTTCACTTTCCTTGCTTCCCTTTAGGGTACAACCCTGCAAGCAACTGATTTGTCATTAACATGACTAAAGGGGTGGATACCTCCGACAAGAGGGGGGCAGGGACCTCTTTCTACATTTTTTTCCGACATATGTGTGCTGCTTAGCATGCTTCTAACATATTACAAGGCGATATGAACCATATGTAGGTATAAGAGATGTTTGTGTGGGGGGAAAAAAAAAAGAATGTGTCCGAGTCAAACTCTCGTATGCTACGTGGCTTCAAGTTTCATATACTTGTCTTGGAAGTTATTCTTTAAGCTAGTGCAAGTTGCCGAGCTTA